GATTCATCTCCAGCAGTTGGGACATACCCGGACGATATACAGCATGTATGCAGAGAAAGGCTCCTTGTCATCGATCACGTCACACCTGCTTTAGGAGCCCTCTGAGTCATCATCACACACGCACACACCCCTCAGCATCCGCAGTGGCTATAATAGCCCGCCTCTTGCAGGGGCGCATGGAGACTGCTGCGCTGGATTTCTTGCTTTAGGAAAAGCCGCTCCACCATCTCTTGCAAGCACCTTTCCACATTCTCACCTGGAAGGTTTTGGAAGAACCAGGCGTTAACCTCAACCATCGACTTGACTTTTTAAAAAAGCTCAGCAGGTCTGTTGAGGATGGGGCATGCTGGAGATTGCTCCTTCATAGGGTTGCAATAAGTTGACAGTGACTTGAGAGCATGGGACAACGACAAGATAACAAATCAAGCCTTAAACTCACCGCAGACGTTAAGATGACTGAACGGACTGGGTTCTACTTGGGGCACATCATGAGAAAACAAGACTCGGCAGACGTTAAGACGACTGAACGGACTGGGTTCTACCTGGGGCACATCATGAGAAAACAAGGCTCAGTGGAAAAGACAGAATAGTGCTAGGAAAGGTGGAAGGCAGCAGGAAAAGAGGAAGGCCAGATACGAGATGGGCTGACTCTTTAAAGGAAGCCATTGAATTTGGAAGAGCTGAGCAGGGCTGCGGAGGATGGGACATGTTGGAGGGGGCTCGTTCAGAGGGCTGCCACAGATTGGAAGTGACTTGATGGAATGTCACAATAACAACAATGAAGTGAGTGATCTAAGAGAGGATATCTGAGAGGGGGTCTCAGTCAGGCTGACAAGTTAACTTTTAGAAAAAAATACATCTCAAATCCCTACAACGGCAGGGTTGAGGATTATGTCAATGGTCACTTGAGACTTTTCCAGGTTCCGACTATCCTTGAGTGGTAAGGGAGGCCCCCGGACGGGTTGAAGGTGCCCCAGATGTGGGAGAAACACCTGCATGGATCAGTCACTGCCCCACCCATCTGCTGTGCCAGCCAAGCAAGTCGGGAGGAACCAAATCAAAACATTCTCCTGTATTGGCACCCGACCGTCCAGAAATAAAACCTGTTTTGCAGTCATTCATTACATCTATCCTGAGACACACATACACACTCCTTCACAAGTCTAGAAGCACCTTGCCTTACCAAACTGAGTTAATAAGCCGTTCATAAAAAATTCTGCAGCTTCGTGCAAAACTCATACCAGCTAATAAAGATGACTGTAGAATTTTTTACTAAATAATCAGGGGTTTCTATCCCCTCCAATAAAAAAGCCTGCTACTTGCTCACTAAGCTGTTATTCCGTGTGTCTAAACTTTTGCTAAACTTTCATAATTTTTTTTCTCTTTGCCTCTGTTTACAGGAACCATTAGTCTTCTTCTAGTGAGGATACTTGTCTTCTTTAAGATCACAATCTTCATCATCATTCTCATCTTAGCACTGCAAAGTTGGAAGGGACCCTGTGGATTATGAAGTCCAGTCCCTGTTGAGGAGACAAAGGGGGGGGGATCGAATTCCCAACCTCTGCCCAAGGGCTGTCAGTGGACAAGAATCGTTTGGAAGATGACACCCGTCTAAAGAGCTGTCCAGTTGAAGTCTGACTTAAAGATAAAGGACAAATATTATCTACCTACCTGCCAACCTACCTACTGTACTTATCCAAAATATTTTCCTTACCTTTCTCTTTGAAAAGGACCCAAGGTGGCTAAGCATTGTAAGATAAAGTTAAAGGTTCCCCTTGACATATCCAAAATATTTTTCCTTACCTTTCTCTTTGAAAAGGAGCCAAGGTGGCTTTATATATATATTTATTGCATTGTAAGATAAAGGTAAAGGTTCCCCTTGAAATTTAGTCCAACCGTGTCCGACTCTAGGGCATGGTGCTCATCCCCATCTCCAAGCCGTAGAGCCAGTGTTTGTCCGTAGACAGTTTTCGTGGTCACATGGCCAGCGTGACTAGACACGGAATACCATTACCTTCCCACCAAGGTGGTACCTATTTACTCACATTTTTACCTGCTTTTGAATGGCAGGAGATGGGACAAGTGACGGGAGCGCCCTCTGTTGCCTGGATTCGATCTTACAATGGCTGATCTTCTGACCTTGCAGCACTGAGGCTTCCGCGGTTTAACCCGCAGCGCCACCCACATCCTTATATGGCATTGTACTTCCACTTTACTGGTGGTCTGTAACTGACCACCCTACCTCTGTTACTGTTGTTGTGTTGTATTAATACTCCTCTTCTTCATCCTGGCCTGGTTGGGCTCTGTCTGGGCCAACGCAGAGGCTGAGGTTGTGGGAACTGGCTCCTACCTGTCTTGGCCGACACTCTGAACCTCCCGGATGCGCCGTGCTCTGCAGCAAACTTCTCAGCCTTCTCTTCCGGCACGTGGTTCTCCAGGTCACTCTTGTTGCCCAGTAGAAAGATGTCAGCTGTGGGGGGAGAGGGGGAGCAGAGAGGTCCCGGCTTGGTCTCACGTGCTGCCGCCGAGCGCCTCAGCCAGAACAGCTGGCGACACCTTGTGCGGAAGGCTAAAAGGTATGGGCTGTGTGTGCAGGAAGGGGGTGCAAATATTGCTACAGGAAATTGGGGCTGCCGGGTCCCCAATGTCTGAATGTACCCCAAGAACTGCTCAGGTTTGGGGTCTTGCGCTTCTTGGAACTTCAAATCTCCGAGACTGCATGCTTCCAAGCCTGTGGGCATGCATGCCTTACCCTTCTGGTTAATAAGCACAGCCTCTACCTACATGGTCTGTCCTTCACACATACATACTCCCCTCTTTTGCAGTTTTTTTCTCTGGTGTGTGGCAGATTTACAGCCGTGGCCAAAAATATTGGCACCCTTGCAGTGCTGTCAAAAAAATGCGGTCCTTCTCTCAGAAAATGGTTGCAGTTGCAAATGTTTCGATACTCACGTGTTCATTTCTTTGCTTTGCGTCGGAACCACACACAAAAAAAGAGAAGAAAAGTCAAATCTGATACCATCTCACACAGAAACCCAAAAATGCACTGACCCAAAGTATTGGCACCTTGTCTAAATTGTAAGAAATAATTGCTTTTTCAAGCATGTGGTGCTCCTTTCATTTGTATTTAGACACATCTGTTGTTTTTTTATGTGTGTGGTTCCGATGGAAACCAAAGAAATGAACACGTGAGTAACAACACTTTTGGAACTCCAACCGTTTTCTGAGAGAAGGGTTTCATTTTCCGACAGAACTGCAAGGGTGCCAATATTTTTGGCCATGACTGGAATTCCGCAAGGGCCACCCTCTAGACTTTGGCCGTAAAATCTCAGGGCCTGGGAGGCTGCTCACCTGGCAAACCATTTTTACAGGTTATTCATCAAAGCCATTTTCTGACGTTAGAACAAAACAGTAGCTCTTCTGACTGTGAAGTTGTGGCTTTTGTTTTTTTGGTATACAGGCACTTATTAATGTAAAAATGATTCGTTCCTAACAGGGGCAGTATCTTGTGCCTTCAATCACTTTCGGTTTTAGCCCTCCCTGACTTATAGGTGCACTAACCCAATACACTTTGCATAATCACATTTCTTTTTTTTTTGAGACCCTGGTTGCGTCCTGGTTTAATTTGTTTAGAAAAGAACCAACCAAATGAGAGACTTTAGGTTAGTCATTTAGTTTTTATTATGCATTCAGCAGGTCTGCTCTTAGTGAGACGGGTCTGGATCGAACCTAAACCCACATATATGGGTTTGGACTTTGTTGCTGCAAATTCAGAATTTAGGACAGGCGCTCTTTCGCCAACAAGGTTATCCCCTTTGATTGGCTTTGTGCTTTTAACATCTGGTTGAGAAATTTAACAAGTGTTCACTTCCCTGAAGTTCTTTAAAAAATAAAATGAAATAGGAAAGCTTCCTTGTAAAGTCCTTTAGTGTTTTGCTCCAGGAGACCTATTCCTAAATGAGCCTGTCCGGGATGGGTTTCTGTGGCTCTTATGGCCACCCTTTCCAGGGTTTTCCAGCTAGAGAAGACACAGAAGGGGTTTCCCATTCCCTTTCTTCTGGGACTCTGTACGTTGCCCTTGGCCACACTAGCTGGCTTTATTCCCAGGGGGAATCGAACTCCCAACCTCTGGCCCCGTACGTTGCCCTTGGCCACACTGGCTGGCTTTATTCCCAGGGGGAATCAAACTCCCAGCCTCTGACCCCACAGCCAGATCCCTAAACCAGCAAACCATTAAGACAGCTCTTAAAGGTATGGGAGCAAAGACGGAAACCAACCCTACCTCCTATTCCTTCCATAGCCCAGAAAATGTCCTTTTAGTTTAAAAAAGAGAGACTTTTCTGAGCAATCTTCCATCCATCATCAACTCCTTCCATCCATCAACTCCTTCCTTTCCTCCATCCATCCATCATCAACTCCTTCCATCCATC